GTACAATTGTCTCATGTTTCCTTCTCTTGCAGCCTTTTCCGCCGTCATTGCTAGATCTTCCACATATTTTCATTTGTCGGCTCTGACGCTCTTCTTCATTTGCCTGTTTGCTTCTGTATGTTCAGCTTGTGCCTTAACATTCTCTGCTCTTGTTCGGCTGACATTGATTGCTGCCTTCTTGTTCCTCCTTTCTTCAATTTTTTCAAAAGTACAAACAGAGATCCATTCCTTGTGACCCAGAACCTCGTGGTATGTTGAAGTGATTGCCTCCTTGATCCCCTTCCAATTGTTCTTCAATGTTGCTTCCTCTCAATTGAGTATATCGTGCAAGGCCTGAAACCTATTGCTAAGGGTTATCCTGAATTGGTTGACTTTGCCAATATCCCAAAGAAAGGCCGTATCAAACTTTTGTGATGTTGTGTCCGCCCCGTCATCCAGTGTTTCTTGAGTTTCAGTTTCATTTTGGCGACCATCAAGTAGCGATCTGAGGCTATATCAGATCCTCTCTTGGTTCTCACATCCTCCATAGTCCTTCTGAACTTTTTGTTGATACAGATACAGATATGGTCGATTTGGTTCTGAGTAGTGTGGTCCGGTGAAATCCACGTAGCTTTGTGTATGCGTTTGTGCGGGAATATTGTGCCGCCGATGACCAGTTTGTTGAAGGCATATAGGTTTGCAAATCTCCCACGGTTTTCGTTCCTTTCTCCTAGTCCATATCGTCCCATGATGTCTTCATATCCAGTGTTGTCCATGCCAACCCTGGCATTTAAATTCCTCATTAGAATCGTCAAATCCTTTGATGAGCATCTGTCGACCATTGACTGCAGCCTTTCGTAGAATTGATCTTTAACGTCGTCATTGTAGTCGTTGGTAGGTGCATAGCATTGGATGACGTTCATTGTAATGTCCTCTTTCTTTGTTTTGAAGGATGCTTCAATGATACTTGGTCCATGAGATTCCCGTCCTATCAGTGCTTTTTGTGCTTGTTTGGACAGCAACAGTGCAACTCCTTGTGTATGTGAAGCACTTTCTTCTTCATGGCCAGAGTATAACAGCAGTTCCCCTGAAGCTAGTCTCAGTTGTCCTACCTGTGTCCAATGCGTTTCGCTGATTTTAAGCACCTCCAGGTTGTATCTTTTCGTTTCTGCTGCAACTTGAAATAGTCTTCCAGTCTCCTACAATGTTCGAACGTTCCATGTACCGAGAAGAATGGTTGCTCTAGTTGTGAGAAGAGGCATCGACCTCGTGACTTCCGAGGGAACTCGGCTTTCATCACGTGACGTCATAATTCTTATTCCAACTCCCAGGGCAGAGTAAAAATGGTTTGAATTATCCTGGTTAGCAATTTTTAGGCAAGTTAGTTGTTTGGTGGGATGGGGTCGCCAACTCCATGCCCATCCCTCCCCCTTTATCCGGGCTTTGGACCGGCGCTGTCTGCGACGTGTTTGTAGGCGTAGTTTGATCAGTTCCTCACTAACCGTAAACAAGTTTTTATAACTCGATGTTTTATAGAATTGAAATGAATAATATTGAAAAATTTTAACCGATTCAACTTAGTTAAGAAATCTGTTGATGTCCTTTACAAGATACTTTCGCTCTAAATAAAAAAAAACGTATTATCTCTTCGTCATTCTGAAAGACTTTTTTTCATCTCAAACGTTTATAAAGGTCAGATTTTTAAGACTCTCCACATTGCTCTTAGGATTGAGGGTTTACATTTACTGTTTAATTACCAGCTGATAGCAACCATTATTTAGAGCTTTTTGAGATTTAGATTAACCGGAAACAGAAGCTAGGAGCGGATAACTTGAAGATTTTAAAGGGTTATACTCAGTTCTATTCATATATATGACCTTAAATCTTGCTACACAATCAAATAAAAATATTGTGTTAGCTATATCATTTTGATTTATTTCGCGTCTTGAACACCGTACCGAACATCTTCGTGTTCTTTTTTGTCACCCGACTCACTAGGACTTATGTGGTGGATGCTACCCACAGTGGCTTGTTAGTAGCAAATAGCCTAGTGTCGTTCAGAAGTGGCTACTAGAGAGAGGAGTATCTGGAAATTGAAATGCATGGCGCGTCCAGAGTATACTGAAGACCAGAAGAGATGTGAGATAAGATAGTCAATAATCTGCTTGTACTGCATATGAATGTCTGAAAATCGTTTGTACTTGTTTTGTGAATAGATTATTTCCTTCCTTAGTGTGTATATCCCATTTGGTGGTGATCGCCGTGCGTTACACTACTTACTAGACACAACGAAGACCGAATTTGATCGGTCTTTGACTGATATATATAGTTTACGAGTGGGATGCCTGAAGGGTGATGATTTGAATTCTTTAACATCAACAAAGCAAAAATACGAGCTCCAATAAATAGAAATCACGTTCGTTGTACAAGTTGGGGGCTGTTCTATTTTAGTAGCTTAGTGAACAATGTGCTGATATTTGTGACAAAAAGCACTAATTTCGAGTCCCAGTTTAAATATGAATAATGAGACGCAAGTATAACTGTCCGATGAGTCCTATGTAAGACGAAACACCCATTTTCAAATTTCACTGGTAGTCACTATCGTACATTTGTTGGTACTTGGTATGCCATCAGCCAGTGTTGAAAATTTTAGTTCAAATTTTACATACAACATTTGGAGCTAATGTGAACAACCTGTTATTTGCATTAATATTGTAACTAGTGTAAACCATGATGGTAGATAGATTTTCACGGGATTTTTTACTATTATAGGTTATCACTGAATAAAAATCATTTTTTAACAACAAACATCTTACGATTCGTATCGGCAAACATTGTGTTCGTTTACAATTTTTCTGTGCTGTTTATCTTCACCATATTTGTTTGGTTAAAAATGTCACATTTTTCATCTACACTACACAAAGCAATATTTTTGTACTGTTTAGAGGAAATTTAGGGATACATGAATCAACGTAATTATGATTTACGGTCAAACGTGTTAAATGACTGCCTTGGATAATTTAATGGGAGTTATTAAGTGCTTAGGAGTTGTAGTCTACTCTTTGCTACTCTTCGGTTTTTAAGTTGAGAACCAAACATATGTCTTGTCAGAAACGTCTTTAGAGTATTGCATGCATTTGACGGGATCATCAACTAATCAAGTTTGGCTACGACTTGAGTAGGTCAGTTGATATGACTATAAACACTTACTGACTGAGAAGAGTGAGCTATCTACAACATGATCCAAGTTACTTTCTGTTTCCTAAAAGTTTCTCACCTCAAAACTATGGATATGCGAGTTCCCATTTCGATTTGTTTTTCTGTTGGAGGCTGTTACCAGTTTCCACTGAACATGGTATTCGTGGTCATTAAGTCGACGGATTATGTGTGTGACGTTAATTGCACTATGCTATCTCTTCACTGTATGCACCCGTCAGAAATGTAATTCCGTTTACAGCAGATCAAGTGCATTAATCAGTCGTTCAGAAAAATGAGTGATTTTGCTTTATCTTCTCGCAAATACTGCCAACCCATCTAATGCCAGGTAACTTAAAGCATTATGTTTGGTCACTGACCTTGGTTTCGAGACCACATGTTCAATCGATTGTATTTTTGCAGACTGAGAAATAGCATAACGTTGATCAATAGTCGGCTTACCTTGGAAAATCTTGTTATTAATTAGACTTGATTAAAGAAGGATGCCAGTAAATATTCATATTTAAATCTTGATTATTGAACAGCCAAACATTATAATTGTCCATAATCAATAGTTCATAATTATGATTGCGACTACAGTTTATTTTCTATGATTAAAAAGGTAATTTACGACAGTTACGTGCCTGGTTTCACGTAGCAGACGAATAGCCTTGATATAACAATGAAATGTTTCCATCGACTGATGGATTAGCAGAAACAGCAACCAACTTCGTTCATGAAGGCGGCGGGGTCCGCGCAATTCTTGAATAGCATTTTTAACAATTTCACAATAAACAGAGCATTCTTTTGTCTTCACGCTTTAGTCCATAAAACAGTCGGTTGTACGGTTCGCAATCTTCTGATCGAAATGAGTTCCCTCTGTTGGATTGTTTTATTGGGAAACACTTAATATCGTTCCAAACAAAATCAATCTCGATACCAAACCGTAGCGGTTGTAAAAGTTTGCTGAGGATTTCTGATCTGAACACTTCTGATAACCTTTTTCTGGTTGGTTGTTATCACTTGTTATGTCTTGGAACTACTGACTAATAATCACGTGTCAAGTCACCAACCAGAATCCTAATTCTTACTTGGTCTATTTTGTGCCCACCAGTTTACTTAACAGTCTAGTGTCTCCGATTCGGCTAATCGCTTGGTCGATCAGCACGATTGATTTTAAGTCTACAGTCAAAGTCCTATTGGTCCACTATTTGTAATATCCTCTCCTCTCTCCTCTACTATACTTGTATTTCACACAGACATGGTTTATATGCAGACATACTGGATCGCATTAAACCAATAAAGGAAAATTGGAGATCATACATAAACAAGCCAAAAGTGTCTGTAAGTAGGGGAAACTGTGAGTAACAGACTGGCAACAAATTCAGAGTAGTAAGTCTTATAACATGAGTTGGTGAGCTAGCTGAATGCTTATGGTTAATACAGTACGTATACAGAGTAATCTAGTTACTCAGCAATCATACGACTAAATTGTAAGTGATAATAATGTGAAGAACCATTCACAACTTTTATAATATTCGTTTTATTATAACTTCAGGTTCTTTGTTCTTTTTATACGGGCATGCATTTTCATTAATTAGCCTTTTAAATATATCAGTCGCTAACCAGAAAGGTCATTTATCGATTCATTTATTGGTTCTAAATATACTCCCATTGTTACATTTTCTAAGTTATATTATGGTGATGTAGGGAATATATATATATATATATATATATATATATATATATATATATATATATATATATAATTTGTCACTATGATTGTGCATATTGTTTATTATTGTCATCAATATTGTTTCTTTCAGTGTTCAGAAGATAATCAGGAGGATTTATCTAGTTTAATGGATACATCAGCTAGTATTTTACGTCTTTTAGATGTAGATACTGCTATTGATGAAAATCAAAGTAAAAAATATCAAAACAATGAAATAAATTTTTCAACCTCTAAAACTTGCGAAATTGCTTTGCATACTTTATTACACCTACACAATGCTTGGGTAGCAGCTCCAGTACTCATCGAAATGTTGAATACAGAAGATAACAATGAATCAAATGATTCTAAAAAATTATATGAAACAATCCAACTTTACTTAACACGTATACAATCTGCATTGGATCTACAAAGGCAAAGATTGAAAACATTAATTTCTAATGATCTATGCTTAAATCTAGATAAGCCCATAATATCATCTTTAAATGAAAATACAGTTGAAAATTTTGAAGATTTATGTAGAGTGAGTGTTTATGTCTTATATATTTTATTGATATGTGAGTTAGTGGTTAGAAATAGTCAACAAGCAACCCTGGACCTAAGTATCACACTATTTGGCACATGTCAGTAAGGTGTACTCCGTCATCTTGAGGGAACTGTTATTCTATGCTCCGTCCGGACCTACGTTATGCAGACTATCTCTAACCACACTGACATCAATGTAGTGCACACAGTGTCGAGTAACTTAAACTGGTGGCTGGTTGAAGATCGATAGAATTTGATCAGTACTACGAAAGACTTTACATACGTGAGTTTGGTTAGGACTCAGATGGCTATATGTGCACCCGTGAGTTAATGTTCATACCCGGCACATTTCAGGCGATAAGTTCCAAATGGGACGAAACACATCCTGAATTTGGCCGTCTAGCCTCATCCCATCTATTCTATTATAAATTGTGTCATAATTGGCTATAACTAGGCGTTATCCACAGAATGCACATATGTCAACTAACAGTGATAAGAATTCAGTCAAACCGTAGTGAAGGAGACCACAGGTGGGGCAACCGAATTGTATTTAGCCAAAATTACAGAGTTACGCAGTAAAATTGGAAAACCATATCGTAAATCGTTCATTTGCAAATTATCAGTCCATCCTATCGAACTGGACTGTTCCTGTTGCCAAACATCAATCCATTGTCACTATTCATGGGTTTCATACAAATTCCATTGTTTTCTAACTCTTCCTTTCTTGATCTCTTCCCATCTTCCGCTGCCAGACATTACGTTGACACTCACGTCATATACTACTTATAAGTAACTCACACCACAAAACTATCAACAGATGGATCACCTAAACCATTGAAAACCATACATTTGAAAATGAATGATATCTTTAATCTTACAAGTTCATAGTCTAGTTAAAACATTACTTTGGTGCCGTAATTTCGATTTAAATAACCCCAAGATACTTTCGTTTATTAATTGTCCGTATGTTAATGAATAATAGGTGTTTAATGTTGTATCAATAAACTTTTAGTATTCAGAAATGCGTACTGAGTTTCTGTAATTTGTAGTCAGTTTTTGCTTAATACCGATTTTAAGAAATTCACCATATTAAGACGCTTAAAAAGATGTTTCTTACGTATGCATGACCAGAAAACGTGTGTGAATGTAGCCTCATATGCCACACAAGCTACAGTGCTAAATCCACATTTTGTGAGTTAAATTATCTAGCATTTTTCGTCATTTTAGTTAACATTTGAATCTCATACTTTTAAAATGAGATTACTTACTTCCTTAATTACGCCTGTTCTCCCCAATGGAGGCCGCCGACCAGTATTCTCCAACCAGCTCTGTCCTGGGATTCCATTTACAGTTCTGTCCAGTTTTTGTTCTTTCTTCTTATATCGTTCTCTATTTCTCGGTATGACATGTTCCTTAGCCTTCCTCTTTTCCTTTTACCGTGAGGGTTCCAAGTGGGGGCTTGTCTTGTGACGAAGTTGGGTGCTTTCCGCAGTGTGTCTCCTATCCACTTCCACCGCTTCTTCCTGATTTCCTCCTCTGCTGGAATCTGGTTTGTTCTTTCCCACAGTACGTTGTTGCTGATGTTGTCTGGCCAACGAATCCAAAGTATTTTGCGAAGACAACTATTAATAAATACTTGTATCTTCTGGATGATGGCTTTGGTAGTTCTTCAGGTTTCCGCTCCATACAATAGAACTGTCTTGATATTTGTATTGAAAATTGATTGTCAATGTTGCTGCCCAGATATGCAAAGGTTTTAACGTCCTTTAAGGCATCAAGAGTGATTTTATTGGCGCATGTTGTGTTGCATCGGAGAATTTCGGTTTTTCCTTTATGTATGTTGAGACCTACTGCTGCAGAGGCTGCTGCTACACTGGTCGTCTTCTCTTGCATTTGTTGTTGCGTGTGCGATAGAAGAGCCAGGTGATCTGCGAAGTCCAGATCGTCTAGCTGCATCCTGGCTGTCCATTGGATACCGTGCTTCCCTCCAGATATTGACGTCTTCACAATTCAGTCGATCACCAGGAGAAAGAGAAAGGGTGAGAGTAAGCAACCTTGCCTGACACCGGTCTTCACCTCGAAAGAGTCTGTCAGCTGACCTCAGTGCACGATTTTGCGGTTTAATCCATCATAAGAGTTCGTATGATGCTATCTTCTCAGGCACACCGTGGTGTCGAAGAATTCTCTATAGTTTCGTCCTGTCCACGCTATCGAATGCTTTCTCGTAGTCAATGAAGTTGATGTAGAGTGGTGAGTTCCGTTCAATTGATTGTTCCACAATGATCCGTAATGTTGCGATTTGGTCGGTACACGATCGATCCTTACGAAATCCAGCCTGTTGATCTCGAATTTGGGCGTCTAAGAAGTCCTTTATTCTGTTTAGCAACACCTTGTTAAATACTTTGCCTGGTATTGAGAGAAGAGTGATGCCTCTGTAGTTCTCACACTTGCTGAGATCGCCTTTCTTTGGTATTTTGATCAGGTATCGTTCTTCCCAGTCTGTTGGTACTTGTTCTTCATCCCAAATCTTGCTGAAGAGAATGTGGAGCTTCTTTGCAGTAGCTGCCACGCTCGCTTTGATTGCCTCTGCTGGAATGTTGTCTGGTCTCGCTGCTTTGCCGCTCTTGATTTGTCTGATGGCCATACTGATCTCTTCAATTGTTGGTGTGCCAACATCCGCAGTTGCTGCTTCGATGTTGGGTGGGTTCAGTGGAGCTGGTCGATTCAAGAGTTCCTGAAAGTGCTCTACCCACCTGTTTCGCTGTTCTTCAGTGTTGCTGATTACTTTGCCTTCCTTGCTTTTCACTGGTCGTTCTGGTTTACGATGGTTTCCAGCGAGCTTCTTTGTTGTATCGTACAATTGTCTCATGTTTCCTTCTCTTGCAGCCTTTTCCGCCGTCATTGCTAGATCTTCCACATATTTTCATTTGTCGGCTCTGACGCTCTTCTTCATTTGCCTGTTTGCTTCTATATGTTCAGCTTGTGCCTTAACATTCTCTGCTCTTGTTCGGCTGACATTGATTGCTGCCTTCTTGTTCCTCCTTTCTTCAATTTTTTCAAAAGTACAAACAGAGATCCATTCCTTGTGACCCAGAACCTCGTGGTATGTTGAAGTGATTGCCTCCTTGATCCCCTTCCAATTGTTCTTCAATGTTGCTTCCTCTCAATTGAGTATATCGTGCAAGGCCTGAAACCTATTGCTAAGGGTTATCCTGAATTGGTTGACTTTGCCAATATCCCAAAGAAAGGCCGTATCAAACTTTTGTGATGTTGTGTCCGCCCCGTCATCCAGTGTTTCTTGAGTTTCAGTTTCATTTTGGCGACCATCAAGTAGCGATCTGAGGCTATATCAGATCCTCTCTTGGTTCTCACATCCTCCATAGTCCTTCTGAACTTTTTGTTGATACAGATACAGATATGGTCGATTTGGTTCTGAGTAGTGTGGTCCGGTGAAATCCACGTAGCTTTGTGTATGCGTTTGTGCGGGAATATTGTGCCGCCGATGACCAGTTTGTTGAAGGCATATAGGTTTGCAAATCTCCCACGGTTTTCGTTCCTTTCTCCTAGTCCATATCGTCCCATGATGTCTTCATATCCAGTGTTGTCCATGCCAAAACCTTGGCATTTAGGTTTCCCATCAGAATCGTCAAATCCTTTGATGAGCATCTGTCGACCATTGGCTGCAGCCTTTCGTAGAATTGATCTTTAACGTCGTCATTGTAGTCGTTAGTAGGTGCATAGCATTGGATGACGTTCATTGTAATGTCCTCTTTCTTTGTTTTGAAGGATGCTTCAATGATACTTGGTCCATGAGATTCCCGTCCTATCAGTGCTTTTTGTGCTTGTTTGGACAGCAACAGTGCAACTCCTTGTGTATGTGAAGCACTTTCTTCTTCATGGCCAGAGTATAACAGCAGTTCCCCTGAAGCTAGTCTCAGTTGTCCTACCTGTGTCCAATGCGTTTCGCTGATTTTAAGCACCTCCAGGTTGTATCTTTTCGTTTCTGCTGCAACTTGAAATAGTCTTCCAGTCTCCTACAATGTTCGAACGTTCCATGTACCGAGAAGAATGGTTGCTCTAGTTGTGAGAAGATCCGTTGGTCTTGTAACTTCCGATGAAGCTCTTGTAATGCTGCATGTACTCTGCCGGCTGAAGAAATTTATTTTGTGATGAAAGGTGATCATTGGTTTTGCAATAACAGTTGATGAAATGGGAACTATTTATTCAAATGACTTTTGAAAAAGGGTGAACATTTCAGTTCGAATGTTCCGCAAGCGTTTCATGGAAATATGGACTTCAATAACTCTAAAAAGCCTAGGTACTTACTAGTGGTATCTTATCTTAGGAATCTGGATCCCTATCATGTTCCGTAATTGATCTGTCTCGCGACTACACATGCATGTTTTCAGGAATTCCAATTTAGTATTCATTCACCCTTTTAGAATACAAAGTTCTAAACAACTGCATGTCGATGAACCTCTGGACGAAACCGCTGTAGAAAATTATAACATTTGCATTCTTTTTTGCGAACGATTATGATTTTTCCTGTCAGCTTTTCAACCACTTCTACAATATAAAGTTTTCACTTACGGTCTCTGATTCCGATGGATTCGGGGACCATGAATAACAAAATGACAAAGCGTTGCATGAATTCTCTAAAACTCACTTATGGAAACCCCAGTAGAAACAATTTACTTAGAAATAACTCACCTGTGATAGTGATAACGTTCGATATTGAATTTGCAGTAGTAATAGTGTGATTACTCTAGTTCATTGTTGTCAGTTTCCATCATCGGATATGAGGACTGAATCCAATAATAACTTTTAGAATTAATACTATTATTTGATGACAGGTTTGAGTAGTGCAAGTGGGAAGGTGTGAAAAAAATTTTGTTAGTACGTAGATGGGTCGGAATACCAAATTTAAACCATACCAGGTTTAATGTTACAATATATATATACGTTTTTACAGATAGAACAATCTACCATTGGAAACTT